CTTTTGGTCTCCAAATTTTAATTTCCCCATCGAATATTATATTGAATATTTAAACTGAAATGACAGGTGGAGAAGAGAATCATATTGTGATGAATGAACGGGTCCAAGCTCTGGCAGGGAGTATTTATGAGGTAATAAAGTACAGTTGTAAACACAGTTCATTCAGTACAAAAAGTACAAAAATACAATATAATTATTTTTCACATCCCTTTAAACCAGTTTATTCTTTCAATATTAGTATAAAATTAACAATTTTTAGTCCTATAAGCTGTGAGTTCATCGTCGAAAAAATAACAATCCAACACGGCAACACCAATTAATAAAAAGAAGTAAAAAGAAAATTTTTACTTTCTTTGTTTGAAGAATTGCATGGTGGTAAATATTCCCACAAACTTTAGTTTTGGAGGTTTTTAGATATCTCCTCTTCAAACACTTAATGTTTATAATTTTTGTTAGATTTTATAAATTACTTATTTACATGGACCACAAAAATGTTTAAAAAGTACAGTCAATGATCAACTGTAGGGTTGTTAATCCTTTCGGTTCGCTATTTTAAAACTTTTGATATAACTTGTAACATTTCAAAACTATATTTTGTTAAAGTTTGTTTTTGTTAAATTTTTCAATATTCTTATTCTAAGAGAAGATAAAATTAAAAACGAACCAAATTTCACCAAATCGAACCAAAACGATTGACAACCCTACAAACAAGCATACATACTTAAAGTGTAATATATGTATGATGTACGCATTAAACCTGTACCATAGATCGAAAATTTTGTAAGGAGTATCATTAAACTTAAACAATTAATCTCGATTTTCCATATGGGAACTTTTAAATTGGAGGATAAATGTTAGATCCCTGATTTGAAGAATCCAACGGGATATCAAAAATTAATTAAATTCACCCATTGGTCTTAAGAAGATGGAGATCAATGCTGGATCCAAAGATTCACAGCACAAAATGTCTGATTTGTGTAATATAAATAAATATTTGATATCAGGAGTTTGAAAAGATGATTGGTAAATATGATCCGGACGTGGTGCAGAACTTGATGCCGCTTATTGTAAATGTTTTAGGTAAATATTTTCCCATATTTTATTTGGTAAAATTATCTTCCTCTTTAAAAGTTACCTAAACTTAGTAAGACATGTTTAAAGGGGCTGTAAGTGACCTCCATGCAAAGAGGGCAATGTCCGATTCACAATGGTACCCTTAATAGCGTTGTCTGATCAAGTATGAATGATTCTCATAACTGTTTATTTTATTTGCGGATTCTCTGCGAAAGTGTTCGCTGATAAGATTCAACGGAGAAACTCATCGAAATAATTTCGAGTCAGAAAAACGAGTGTATCTTTCACATTTTTGATCAGAGTAACGCTTCAAGGGTACAGTTTTAAATCGGGCATTGCCATCTTTACATGGAGGGTCACTTAAAATTACGCTCACATTTTTACAATTTTTAGGTTGACACTTGACAGTCTTTAAAACAGAATTAAAAAAATTTTCAACTAAAGTCAAATTTTATATTTTTCCAAAATCCTAAAAAATAACCCTATTCATTTTCATTTTTTCCCTTCTTTTCCCTTCTGTTCCCTTCCATAACCTTGCATTTCTTTTTACTTTTTAACATTTTTTCATCTGTAATAAATTTTTTTTCTTTTGATCTGATTATGTATTCTGATCATTCCTTTAGTTTTTAATTTGTTCTTGTTATTTTGAAAAGTTCTTAATAGAGTTTACTATAAGACCCGGTGGGAGAAGGAAAGTTAAAATTCAATTTTCAGTTTCCAGCATTCAGGGCAGGGCAGGGCATACATTTTTCATGGACATTTTTTTATAATTTGCATTGTCAAAGATTAATTTTCGTGTAGAGTGTCTAAAGGAATTGATTGTTTTCCACAAACTCTGATTTTTAATTCAGATATATTTGCAACCCAATCTCGTAGACCTTATATATTTCAAACTATGAATTTTGTTAAATAAAATAATTTAAGTTTGAAATATGAAAGGTTAAACCATCAGGTTACAAATATAAAGGTAATACAAAATTTGAGTTTGTGGCAAAGACCCAATTCCTTTGATGATTTTAAGGGTAATGTTGATCCGCTCTACTGCCCATCCGTCCTATTGCCCATCCGCTATACTGCCTATCCGACCTACTGCAACATCTGACCTACGGCATTTTTCGTAGGTCGGATGGGCACTTTTTGTAGGTCGGATGGGCATTTTTTGTAGGTCGGATGGGCATTTTTGTAGGTCGGATGGGCATTTTTCTTAAAGGTCGGATGGCATTTTTCGTAGGTCGGATGGGCATATTTCGTAGGTTGGATGGGCAGACCTTTAATTTTAACAATTTTTAATAAAATTAGTGTATATTTAAGGTTAGGTTAGGTTAAGCTCATTTCTGGGCCGAGCGCTGCGGCCATGAAAGACCTTTAATTCACAATTTTTGATAAAATTAGTGTATATTTAGGGTTAGGTTAGGTTAAGCGTACATTTCTGTGCCGAGCGCTGCGGCTAGGACAGCCTAGGGGGCCGAGCGCTGCGGCCACATGTCTGGGCCGACCTACGAAAGATGCCCATCCGACCTACGAAAAGTGCCCATCCGACCAACGAAAAATGCCCATCCGAGCTACGAAAAATGCCCATCGGACCTACGAAAAATGCCCATCCGACCTACGAAAA